TTTTATTTTATTTTTTATTTTGCACATAAATTTACAATGGCATTGTCAAATCTCACAATGCCCAGCGATATTTCAGCAGCCGTCATGTTTATTTATATTGGATATTGTAGTTCCGGTCAGTGTTGTATTAATACGCTAAGAATTGTGTCTCGTGATGCATGGTAATTAAAGTCCCATCAACGACACAGCTTTCAAAGAGGCTTTATAGTGACAATGCCATGCAAATGTAAATATATATTATATGAGGACTGAGGCTGAGTGTTAAGTTGAGCTTAATTCTTGCTCAATTAAAAAGAGTACTGTGCTTTGATAAGAAAATTTCCAAACTAAAGTTTCTGCAAGATAGAGGCTGTGGCTTAAACTTCGAAGTTGAGCTATATCAGCACATAACTAATTATAAGCATCCACATGCTATGACCGGTTAATTGTTTCTGGGCAATAACTTGATATTGATGAAATTTTGTCAATATTCATATCATACAATGACAAAAGCTAAGCTTAAATGTGAGCAAAATCTGCAAATAATTTATTAGCATATTGCTATCTGATTGGTTTATTGTTTTCACACAATAATTAAGTCAAATATGGCATGATTCTGATGAGTCTTGGTCAATATTTGCACTTTGTCTAATATTGAAATCTGCCAATAATTAATGAATGGTTAAAGGTGAATTGATTATTGGTAAAAAAGGGGCAATTTCAATTTCTTTTTTTCTTGATTTGAAACATATACAAAGGGATACAATTCCTATGAAAATCAATTTCTTAAAGGTCATAAAAGAAATATGAAATATATTCCTTTAGCTTGAGTTGGTCAAGTACATGTTTTCTCCTTCATCACACTTCAGAAATAGTCTTAAGGATGTAATTGTGAGGTTTCCATCACACTCCAGAAATAGTCTTAAGGATGTAATTGTGAGGTTTCAATCAAGTTTAAGTCTCATTTTGATCTCATGTTAGGGGTTTTTGTAATATTTAATTAGAGTAGGATCAATTTTGATAGCAAACACGCATCTGAAATAATGTGTCAAAATCTAGATGTCTGTTGTTTGTAGAACTTCTTTCACCAGAATTTAAGAAAACTGACCATGTCAGCGGCGATTTTGAAAACATGTATTTCTGTGTATTTGTCACCTTTTTTGACGCTAGATTGATCAGTTAAATCCCCAGTATGTCTCCATTTTGACGCTAGATTGATCAGTTAAATCCTCAGTATGTCTCCATTTTGACGCTAGATTGATCAGTTAAATCCTCAGTATGTCTCCATTTTGAGGCTAGATTGATCAGTTAAATCCTCAGTATGTCTCCATTTTGACGCTAGATCAGTTAAATCCTCAGTATGTCTCCATTTTGAGGCTAAATTGATCAGTTAAGTCCTCAGTATGTCTCCATTTTGAGGCTAGATTGATCAGTTAAATCCTCAGTATGTCTCCATTTTGAGGCTAGATTGATCAGTTAAATCCTCAGTATGTCTCCATTTTGAGGCTAGATTGATCAGTTAAATCCTCAGTATGTCTCCATTTTGAGGCTAGATTGATCAGTTAAATCCTCAGTATGTCTCCATTTTGAGGCTAGATTGATCAGTTAAATCCTCAGTATGTCTCCATTTTGAGGCTAGATTGATCAGTTAAATCCTCAGTATGTCTCCATTTTGAGGCTAGATTGATCAGTTAAATCCTCAGTATGTCTCCATTTTGAGGCTAGATTGATCAGTTAAATCCTCAGTATGTCTCCATTTTGAGGCTAGATTGATCAGTTAAATCCTCAGTATGTCTCCATTTTGAGGCTAGATTGATCAGTTAAATCCTCAGTATGTCTCCATTTTGAGGCTAGATTGATCAGTTAAATCCTCAGTATGTCTCCATTTTGAGGCTAGATTGATCAGTTAAATCCTCAGTATGTCTCCATTTTGAGGCTAGATTGATCAGTTAAATCCTCAGTATGTCTCCATTTTGAGGCTAGATTGATCAGTTAAATCCTCAGTATGTCTCCATTTTGAGGCTAGATTGATCAGTTAAATCCTCAGTATGTCTCCATTTTGAGGCTAGATTGATCAGTTAAATCCTCAGTATGTCTCCATTTTGAGGCTAGATTGATCAGTTAAATCCTCAGTATGTCTCCATTTTGAGGCTAGATTGATCAGTTAAATCCTCAGTATGTCTCCATTTTGAGGCTAGATTGATCAGTTAAATCCTCAGTATGTCTCCATTTTGAGGCTAGATTGATCAGTTAAATCCTCAGTATGTCTCCATTTTGAGGCTAGATTGATCAGTTAAATCCTCAGTATGTCTCCATTTTGAGGCTAGATTGATCAGTTAAATCCTCAGTATGTCTCCATTTTGAGGCTAGATTGATCAGTTAAATCCTCAGTATGTCTCCATTTTGAGGCTAGATTGATCAGTTAAATCCTCAGTATGTCTCCATTTTGAGGCTAGATTGATCAGTTAAATCCTCAGTATGTCTCCATTTTGAGGCTAGATTGATCAGTTAAATCCTCAGTATGTCTCCATTTTGAGGCTAGATTGATCAGTTAAATCCTCAGTATGTCTCCATTTTGAGGCTAGATTGATCAGTTAAATCCTCAGTATGTCTCCATTTTGAGGCTAGATTGATCAGTTAAATCCTCAGTATGTCTCCATTTTGAGGCTAGATTGATCAGTTAAATCCTCAGTATGTCTCCATTTTGAGGCTAGATTGATCAGTTAAATCCTCAGTATGTCTCCATTTTGAGGCTAGATTGATCAGTTAAATCCTCAGTATGTCTCCATTTTGAGGCTAGATTGATCAGTTAAATCCTCAGTATGTCTCCATTTTGAGGCTAGATTGATCAGTTAAATCCTCAGTATGTCTCCATTTTGAGGCTAGATTGATCAGTTAAATCCTCAGTATGTCTCCATTTTGAGGCTAGATTGATCAGTTAAATCCTCAGTATGTCTCCATTTTGAGGCTAGATTGATCAGTTAAATCCTCAGTATGTCTCCATTTTGAGGCTAGATTGATCAGTTAAATCCTCAGTATGTCTCCATTTTGAGGCTAGATTGATCAGTTAAATCCTCAGTATGTCTCCATTTTGAGGCTAGATTGATCAGTTAAATCCTCAGTATGTCTCCATTTTGAGGCTAGATTGATCAGTTAAATCCTCAGTATGTCTCCATTTTGAGGCTAGATTGATCAGTTAAATCCTCAGTATGTCTCCATTTTGAGGCTAGATTGATCAGTTAAATCCTCAGTATGTCTCCATTTTGAGGCTAGATTGATCAGTTAAATCCTCAGTATGTCTCCATTTTGAGGCTAGATTGATCAGTTAAATCCTCAGTATGTCTCCATTTTGAGGCTAGATTGATCAGTTAAATCCTCAGTATGTCTCCATTTTGAGGCTAGATTGATCAGTTAAATCCTCAGTATGTCTCCATTTTGAGGCTAGATTGATCAGTTAAATCCTCAGTATGTCTCCATTTTGAGGCTAGATTGATCAGTTAAATCCTCAGTATGTCTCCATTTTGAGGCTAGATTGATCAGTTAAATCCTCAGTATGTCTCCATTTTGAGGCTAGATTGATCAGTTAAATCCTCAGTATGTCTCCATTTTGAGGCTAGATTGATCAGTTAAATCCTCAGTATGTCTCCATTTTGAGGCTAGATTGATCAGTTAAATCCTCAGTATGTCTCCATTTTGAG